TGGCGCCCAGGTAAGTACCGCTGACGCAGGTATGGCCTCCGCCCCTCTTCTTCTTCTTCGACAGCGTGGAGCACGGCAATGGCGCCCAGGGAAGTGCCGCTGCCGCAGGTACGGCCTCCGCCCCTCGTCTTCTTCTTCTTCGTCATCATCTTCTTCTTCTTCTTCTTCTTCTTCTTCTTCTTCTTCTTCTTCTTCTTCATGTGGTCGTTGTTGTTGTTGTTGTTGTTGTTGTTCAGGTCGCCAGTGTGGAGCACGGCTATGGAGCCCAGTTAAGTACTGCTGACGCAGGTATGTGTTGTTGTTGTTGTTGTTCTTGTACAGGTCGCCAGTGTGGATGTACAGGTCGCCAGTGTGGAGCACAGCTATGGCCACCAGTTAAGTACGGCTGATGCAGGTATGGCCTCCGCCCCTCTTCTTCTTCGTCTTCATCTTCTTCTTCGTCTTCATCTTCTTCTTCTTCTTCTTCTTCTTCTTCTTCTTCAGGTCGCCAGTGTGGAGTGCGGCTATGGCGCCCAGTTAAGTACCGCTGACGCAGGGATGTGTTGTTTTTGTTGTTGTTGTGCAGGTCGCCAGTGTGGAGGACGGCTATGGCGCCCAGTTAAGTACCACTGACGCAGGTATGGCCTCCGCCCCTCTTCTTCTACTTCTTCTTCTTGATGTGGTTGTTGTTGTTGTTGTTGTTGTTGTTGTTGTTGTTGTTGTTGTTGTTTAGGTCGCCAGTGTGGAGCACGGCTATGGCGCCCAGTTTAGTACCGCTGACGCAGGTATGTGTTGTTGTTGTTGTTGTTGTACAGGTCGCCAGTGTGGATGTACAGGTCGCCAGTGTGGAGCACGGCTATGGCGCCCAGTTAAGTACCGCTGACGAAGGTATGTGTTGTTGTTGTTGTTGTTGTACAGGTCGCCAGTGTGGATGTACAGGTCGCCAGTGTGGAGCACGGCTATGGCGCCCAGTTAAGTACGGCTGACGCAGGTATGGCCTCCGCCCCTCTTCTTCTTCTTCNCGCCAGTGTGGAGCACGGCTATGGCGCCCAGTTAAGTACGGCTGACGCAGGTATGGCCTCCGCCCCTCTTCTTCTTCTTCTTCTTCTTCTTCTTCAGGTCGCCAGTGTGGAGTGCGGCTATGGCGCCTAGTTAAGTACGGCAGACCCGGGTATGTGTTGTTGTTGTTGTTGTTGTATAGGTCGCCAGTGTGGAGCACAGCTATGGTGCCCAGTTAAGTACGGCTGATGCAGGTATGGCCTCCGCCCCTCTTCTTGTTCTTCTTGTTCTTCTTCTTCTTCTTCTTCTTCTTCTTCTTCTTCCCTAGTAGGAAGTAACGGAATAACAAATCCTGCAAAGATGGGAAATAATTCAAGAATACTTAACCAAGGCAATTGATTCATAATGAAAGATATATCTGTTTAAAATAAAGAACATTGAAGAAAAGAATGTTCTTAAAAATCTATGATTCATTCAAATTTTTTAAAAATATGTACTTCTTCTTCTTCTTCTTCTTCTTCTTCTTCGTCTTCGTCTTCTTCGTCTTCTTCTTCTGGTGGTTGTCGTTATTGTTATTGTTGTTGTTGTTGTTGTTGTTGTTGTTGTTGTTGTTGTTGTTGTTGTTGTTGTTGTTGTTGTGCAGGTTACAGCGTGGAGCACGGCAATAACGCCCAGGTAAGTACCGCTGACGCAGGTATGGCCTCCGCCCCTCTTCTTCTTCTTCGACAGCGTGGAGCACGGCTGTGGCGCCCAGGTGGTTCTTCTTCTTCTTCTTCTTCTTCTTCTTCTTCTTCTTCTTCTCCTCCTTCTTCTTCTTCTTCTTCTTCTTCTGGTGGTTGTTGTGGTTGTGGTTGTTGCTGTTGTTGTTGTTGTTGTTGTGCAGGTCGATAGCGTGGAGCACGGCTATGGCGCCCAGGTGGTTGTGGTTGTGGTTGTTGTTGTGGTTGTTGTTGTGGTTGTTGCTGTTGTTGTTGTTGTTGTTGTTGTTGTTGTTGTTGTTGTTGTTGTTGTTGTTGTTGTTGTGCAGGTCGACAGCGTGGAGCACGGCAATGGCGCCCAGGTAAGTACCGCTGACGCAGGTATGGCCTCCGCCCCTCTTCTTCTTCTTC